CAGAATTGAATCCTCTATCTCAGATAATTTTAGAGATGTTGAGCCTCAAAGTTGTCTCAGATTTTACAAATTATGAACCTTTAATTTACATAGTATTTACATAAGCTTGACACGAAACTAAAATGGATAAAAAATGATCCTAAATTCATATAAGCTGTGATATTTAATTTATCATCAACTCGGTTCTTTGTTCATTATTTACATTGTGGTTTGATTTAAAAGGAGGTGACAAATGTATGACTCCTAAATTAAATTTATCATAGATAAGCATATTTAGTGATATATTGCTTGGACTATGTGAATGTGTTATTTCCTTGTGTAACCACATTTAACTCATCCTTTGAATAAAAAGATAATAAAGATTTTTTTAATCTTTATGCGTTCGATAGGTACCTTATTATTGATGGTCAAACTCCATACACTGTCCACTGAATTACTGAATTATTCAGAGATTTGGAGCCAGATCCTATGATAAAAGGCACTCAGAAAAATTTAAAAATTGATAAATCACTTCAAATTGCTTAACACAATTTTATCTCAGGAACTATAAGTGCAAATGAGCTAAAATTTTCAGGGATTGTAGTCCCTTAATTGGGATAAAATTCAGTGAAAGTTTCAGCTTTCTATTTATAATTGAAAAAAAGTTATGACCTTTCAAAGTTTTCCAAAATCTAAGCTGAAGTTTTCAGGAATTTTAGTCCCTTCATTGAGATAATATTCAGTGAAAATTTCCGCTTTCTATCTATAATAGGAAAAGAGTTATGACCTTTCGAAGTTTTCCAAAATCTAAATCATCAGTAGGTACCTACTGATCTCCAGTGGCGGCTCGTCAAAAAAGGCAGGGGAGGCTAAACCTCCCCCAAAAAATTGAAAATTCAATCTCAATTTTTTATTCCTGATTTCTAATTAAAATAATAATTAACAAATTACACTTTCCAATTTTCGATATTTCAATGTAATTTAGAAAAATCTGCAATTATTTCAATCAATCCCGCGCCTCCACGACAAATATCTGTGAATCTGGGATACTCAGTAATACCGGCCCGAAGGGCCGGAGTTATATGCGAGCCCGAAGGGCCGGAGTTATATGCGAGCCCGAAGGGCCGGAGTTATATGCGAGCCCGAAGGGCCGGAGTTATATGCGAGCCCGAAGGGCCGGAGTAATACAAGCCCGAAGGGCTAGAGTTATTTTAATAACGGGGCCTAGTTTATAATTCTATTGGTGAGCAGATAATTTAGAGCTAATTGAAAACCGGGAGTATTTAAAATGCGATTTCTAACGTCCGATCAAAGAGTCAGGAATATTTAAAAACTTTAGTTTTATCAAATTGACTTTGGAATGTTGGTTTTCTTAAGATTTTTATTTTTCTCAGAAAACGGTGGTTTTTGCAAACTTATACTACTTTATCATTGTCTTTGTCTTACTCGCTATAATCTATAAGTAAACCTTTAAATGTCATTTTCATTGAAATTAAACTAAAAACAAGTTTCCTATAATTTATTTGGGGAATTTTAATTCTTATAATCATTATTAATTAATTATTAAATTGAATTTTAAACAAAAAACCCTTTTAAAATGTTATTTTTGCTTTCCGAAATGAGATGTGGCAACGTTTCTTTTAGTTGGCCATTTTGAAGTGACGCCTTGTAATTTTTTGCCAGTTTTTCCTCGAGTTTTTCACTTTTCCGGGGTTTTTCAATGGAAAAAGGCAATTTAACATACGAGGCTTTGAGTTTTCTTCATTTTCTAGCAAAAATGTCCAGTTTTAAAATGACATAAATAACAAAAATCCCATTTAAAATGTTTTTTTTGGAAGTTTCGATGTGGCAACACCGTTTGTACCAACTTCAAATAGGTTTTGTAATAAATGTCATTTGCCAGTTTTGACAGTCGGCAATTTTTAATTGACGTGTTTACATTTCTATTCAGTTTTTCCTCGAATTTTCCACTTTTCCAAGCCGTTTTCAGTCAAGAAACCCGATTTGAAATACGAGGTTTTGAATTTCCTACATTTTGTGCTAAAAATCCCCAGTTTTCCAATGGGGTAAGTGACAAAAACTCAAATTTCATTAAGTAGGCTTTGCAATGTCAATTTTAGAGGTTTTTCTTTGAATTTGTCAGCTTTTCCAGGGCTTTTCTGGTCGGAAAAACCGATTTAAACTACGAGGCTTTGAGTTTTCTTCATTTTCCACCAAAAATTTCCAGTGTTTTAACGGGGTAAGTGAGAAAAACTTTAGTTTATCAAGTAGATTTTGGAATGTCATTTTCGTTGGGTTTTTATTTAAGGTTTTTGGGGTCCGGCGATCGTTTTCTATCACTTTTTTTCTCGAAATTCGCAAAATAAAAAAAATAAAAAACTTTTTTGACGTTGATAGCTGTCAATTTTTTTTTTGACACAAATCGATAGTTGGCGTCGCGAAACTGCCTTGTACCGGGGTTTGATTTTCGTAGTAGTAGAGCGGGAAAAAAGTCGAACATGTGTCAAATTTGACAGGTGACATTTGTCGATATTGCCAAAGTATCGTGCGACAAAAGTTTTATCCGAACGAACCCGTTCATTGTTAACTGATTTTTAATACTCCGGCCCTTCGGGCCGTAATCTTTGAAACAAAAAGACGTCATTTTGTATCGATTGTCCAAAAACCTAAGGTTTGAAATTTCGATTTTTTGACGTTTGTTGTATCATGAGCAGCGTTGCCATATGTTTTTATCAAATCTCGATTTATAGGTTATTTTAAACCCAATCATTGACATTTCTGAAAAATATTTCCTTTAAAATTCCCAAATATCCTTTGGAATCCCCAAAAATCTATTAAAATCTCAGAATTCCATAATTTAGTGGAATTTCGGTAGAATAATTATGTTATTCTGAAAAAGGAATTAGATGGGAAATTTTTGCGGAGTTTCCATAGAATTCACATTAAATTTTAATTCCTATCGAATTACTTGAAATTTCAGTGGAATTCCGATCGAATTACACGAAATCCTAAATGAATTACATGGAGGAATTTTAAACAATTACCTGAAATTACACCGAAATTCCCAACATGAAATTTCAGTTTTTACTGAATTTTAGTAATGCCGAGGAATTTTCAGCTAAAAACATGGAATTTCGGTGATATTCCGAAAAATTACCATGTAATAACATGAAATTTCAATATATTTCGATGAATTTTTAAGAAATTACTTGAAACTTCATTAATATTCCCAGAAATTCCTATGGGTATTAAAAGAGAATTTCAGTGAAATTTCGAAAAATTCCTATGAAAATAAATTAAATTTTGAAAATTCCTTGAAGTTTCATTAGACTTTCGAGAAATTTTCGGTTATGAACATGGATATTCTCATAAAATTTTAGTGAATTCCGAGAAATTTTTAAGAAATTACATCCAAAAAAAATTATGAAAATTTTGTGGAATTCCAGGATATTTCAGTGGTAAAATTTTGAGGAATTTTAGTAAAGTTAAAAAAAATATATGGCATTTTGAAATTGAAATCTTAGTGGAATTCCGAGGAATTTCATGAAATCCTATACTGTAATTAGCCTCCTCACTTGAAATAGTCACGAGCCGCCACTGCTGATCTCAGTTCAATCTAGAAACAAATTGTTCTATAGAAAGGTAAGAATTCAATCTTGAATTCAAGTTTAATTTAGAAGCAACTTGACATAGAATAATTCTTGAATTGTTCCCAGCTACAAATATTTAACTTAAAATCTAAATTTAATCTAGGAGCAACTTAAATTCTATCTAGAATCCTGCTTTAATGTAGAAACAAATTAAAGAAAGAATTCAAGTCTATATAGAATCCCAGTTCAATCTAGAATTCAGCTACGAGAATTCAATCTAGAATCTCAGTTTAATCTAGGTACCTCAGTATAGCTACAATATTTTAAGAGAAATTCTTTGAAAACGTAGGTATTATATTATCCTTTCACCGTCCAGAGATTTTCAACTCTTTTTGCAACTTATTATTGAATTTCATTAATTTATTTAATAGAAAGCGTCAATTTGGTAAAAATTCGAAAACAAGTCTCATAATAAAGCAAAACTTATTACCATTTTTCTCGAGTACGAAACCAAATCTTGTTTACCTCGATTTATAAGTAAATTCTATGGGTGAGTAGGTATGTTTTTCTTGGGATTTTGCTAGTGATTAATCCTAAATTAATCAGCGAATGCACTGACTAATGGACGATAATAAAAACTGTAGTCAAAGGTCGAAACATGTAAAACATGATGTTAAAGAAAATAGATTTGGAGGCTAATGGATTTTATGTGTTTAATTAAAAATAAAAAGTTTTTTTTTCTATGGGAATTTGTATAGTATATTTATTGAGGGTTTACTCATGTACTGGAAACACTCTTTTTAGAAAAGCAGTAGATTTAAATTCAGAATTAAATAAACAATAGATATATTTTGTACCCACATAATATAGGTATATTGCTTTTATTATTGATTATTGATTGTTTAAGATGACACAAATCAAGCAAGGTTGTCTTGTTCATAAATTAAAGTCAGTAAGTGCATTTAACTGATAAAATAAAACACAAGAAAATAATGTGTTCTACCTGTTTTAGACCCACACCAAATATGGTATAAAAATAGACGAAATTTGTAATACCTACTTACCTCCTAGAGAGAGTGTATATTTTAAGAAATATGAGATGTTTTTAGGATAATTATTATTAAAATAATAGGGCGAATTATAATATAATTGCTTGTAACAATTAATTAAGACAAGAAAATTTTAATAATTTTCAAATTTTTGATGACAATAATGTTAAATTTGATACACAAAACATCCTAATTATTTTATAAACGAGTGAAAAAATTGATAACACAATTTACTTTTTTTGTTTGCTAAACACCTCTGATAACATAATTTGATGTTAATAAATTCAAGAATGAATAAAATATGGTAAATTAAAAATAATAAACAAATATTTTTGTATAAGAGCAATGTTTTTTTTTTTGTTACAAAAAACCATTTACTTACTTTTTAAACGTAGCCTCGTACTGTTTAATTTCCTTCCTTGAAAATTCATGAAACTCAGTAAAAACGTTCACCACTTTGTATTTAATTTTGATTTCCGTGCCATTATCAAGGGCGTCATTTAATTCTTGTCGTCTTACCAAAACCGAATTTAGTTCAGCGTCAGCAGGCATTTTTTTCCAAAATTATTAACAATAAACAAATACAATTGACAAAAAATACGAGCGCAAGTTTCGGTGCGTCTGGACGCGCGGAATTTCAAACTAGGTTTGATATAAACATTTTACCGAGTATATTTTGAATTTCGCTCCAGTCAAGTTGCGCGCGTTGAGGAAATATGGCTTGGGTATTGCGCATAGGAAGCTTAAATTTATTGAAATTTGCAACTGGAGTGGCTGTAAATTCTGGCAATAGAAGTTTGTGAAAGATTTATTTAGCTTTAATTTGAGCCTAATTATGTGTAAAATTTTTAATTTTTGAAAATCTCAAGCCGCTCAGTAAAATATTGAATTTCTGAGAGTTTCTTGACAGTCGATTTCCTTTAAAAAAACAATAAATTCAATTGAAAAACTAACTATAACTTAATTTCTGAGCTCGATATCGATCGTTGGTTTGTTTTATTTTCTGACAAAAACTTGAATTTGTGTTTGTTGAAAATCTGAAGCCGCTCAGTGAAATATTGAATTTCTGAGAGCCTCTTGAAAGTCAATTTCTCTGGTTTGTTTTATTTTATGAAAAAACACTTCAAAGGAAACGATATATTCAGGGATGTAAGTTTTTATTTTTTCATTCTACCTTTACCAAGAATAATTATGAAACCCTCTATATTTATAATGAAATGAAGCAATGAATTCAAAACATTACTATATTAATTATTATTACCAACAAAACAATAATGTTATGATTGTTCTTATTCAAGGAGCAATTATTTTATTTAAACAATATAAACGATCGACTCTTGAAAATTGATTCATCCTTGAAATAATAATATGATGCACTACTACGCTACTACTAGTATAGGAAATGAAACATAATTCTCTTATAGATTAAACTATATAGAGGATGGTGATTTATTAATAAAATGTTTGTATATAACAAAAATGAACTTCCTATGAGTAATAGTAATTATTATTTCATGTGCGGCTGAATTCAAATAATATAGGGGGAAAAAAAGGGTTTTAAAAGGGTATTATTAATGTCTCGCCTTGGTGCCTGCTTAATGACTTTTGTGCACGGAATATTGAAAAAACGAAAAGTGTCGGATTCCAATGAAATGAAAATCTGTCGCCAAATGGGAAGTAGTTTCCGCAATAATCCTCAAATGGTATTACAAGCATACCATCATCGATTGTCGATTTCACATCCCAATTTCACTTTCCTCTTGCTCTTGCAATAATAATTATTGTAATTTATTTATAATCCGCATCGCAATGACTTAACAAACTGAAAGTCGTAATTTGAATTTATTGAATTTAATACTACGTATTAGCTGCAAATTAAATTGAAACAAAATATGGATAGAATCATTAGCCATATAACCAAAACCGCATTTAAACATCATTATCAGAATACATTTTGTATTTGAAATTATCAGAACCACAGAAGAAGAAAAAACCAACATAAAATTGTTTCTTTCTGAAGCTTTTGTCTTTCTGATGAAATCATGGAAATTAGGAAAGTACTTTCAGGTAGGTAACTAAATACTGAAGAGCAAAAAAAAAAAACTTCCTTCTGCCAAAGGAAGCTATTTTCCTGGGTGTCAGTTGGCCCACTTCTTCTGGTGACAGTGTTGCCCCTTCGAGGAATTTGATTTGAGCCTCTTGCAGTATTGGGCTGAACATTCGTAGAGCAGGTGCGCTCTCTATTGCGTCTGAGCAGAATCTGCAGAGATCGTCTTCCGCTCTGCCCATTAACCTTAAATGGTATTTTATTGGGCAGTGTCCTGTGAGCAGGAGCTGTTCAGCTCTTTTTGCTGAAAGGGTAATAAACCTTTTTGACTGTCTGAGTCCCGGTGTGTGCCTCCAATATGATGACAGTTGGTCTTTCTCCCATTTGTTGAGTTCTTCCATGATGTGGCTTTTCATTAAGCCACCGTAGGGCTCTGGTCCATGGTATGGTGTTGAGGCCCCTTCCTTTGCGAGGCTATCTCATCTGCTTCTTCATTTCCTTCTATTCCTCGATGACCAGGCAGCCACATCAGCGTCTGGTTGTGTGTCGCTAGTGTTTTTAGGGTCTGTTTACACTCCCAGACTAGTTTAGACGTGCATTTGAAAGCCCTTGGCTTTTAAGGCAGCTTGGCTGTCCGATAGTATGAAGATGTGTTTTCTTTTGAGGTTTTGGCTAAGACACTCTTGTGCACATATATCTATGGCAAGCAGTTTGGCTTGAAATATTGTAAGATGTTTATCAATGCCTTGGAGACCTTGAAGTTAGGGCCGGAGATGCCCAGTCCAGCTCCTTCCATTAGCTTCGATCCATCTGTGTACCACAGAGATGCATTGTCTGCATGTGGCAATTCTTTATTCTCTTATGATTAGCGGTCGTTTATTACCACAGCGAATGGGATCTCTAAGTCCAATCTGACCATCATGTGGTCGCTTGATTTGCTGGCATTCTCCAGTTTTATTAAATCAAGGATTCGCAGATGTCCCCTTAGATCACCAAGCTTGAACTTGTCTATTTGGAATAGCCTGTGAGCGCTGGCTATTGCCTCCTTTTTCACACATATAGATGAAGTGGGGGCATGTTGAGTAGCGTCTCCAAAGCTGCGGTGGGGCAAGTTGACCCACCCAGTTAGCCACCATGTTTTTCCAACAAGTTTTCGGCATGACCAAATGGCTGATGTAGCTCGAGAGCATGTTTTCTCTAACTGTTTATTCCAAGTGAGGGTTCGGTCCAGGGTGAGCCCTAAGTACTTCACTTCGTTGGAAAATGTTAGTTGTGTACCGTTAAGGGTCGAAGCTTTCAGATTTAGCTTCCTTCTTCTTGTGAACGGGATAAGGATTGTTTTGTTTGCCTTTAGGGATAATCCTTCGCCTTCGCTCCAATTTTTAACGATGTTTAGGGCACTTTGCATTCGGCTTGTCACTACGCCTTCATGTTTGCCCTTGATTACAATGGCTAGGTCATCTGCGTAGCCTTTGACCTGGTATCCAGCACTACTCAGTATGGTAAGAATTTTGTCTACCACCAGTGTCCACAGTAGGGGAGAACGAACACCCCCTTGAGGACACTCTCTGACCGTGGTAGCGGTAGTTGATGCTCCGTTTATTTCAACCGTAACGTGACCGGTGACCGTGTTTCAGCATCGACTCTATCCATTTTACAATTGGAACTTCAACATCCCATTTTTTTAATGCTCTGGCGATTGATTGATGTGAGGTGTTGTCAAAGGCACCCTCTATGTCGATGAAAGCTGTGAGAATGATCTCTTTGCACTCGATTGTCTTTTCAATGTCTTTAACTAGGCAATGTAGAGCACTTATTGTGGATTTGCCTGGCTGATAAGCAATTTGCTTCGAGTAGAGTTTCGCTTCTGATGTACTGGTCGATTGCTTTCTCCATTGTCTTAAGGAAAAAGGAGGTTAGGCTAATATGACGATATGATTTTGGTTCGTCCTCGGGTCGGCGACCCGTTTTTGGTATGAATATCACATTAGCTTGCCTCCAAGATAGCGGTATGTGCCCTAGGAGCAAGCTTGCCTTAAAAAGCTTTTGTAGGTGTACCTTTAACTATTCGTAGCCTTTTTGCAGTTGTGCGGGAAAAATCCCGTCTTTGCCTGGAGATTTGTAGGGTCTAAAGCCATCGATCGCCCATTTTATTCTGTTCATTGTGAAGATTTTCCCAGTCAGCCTTTTGCTCTTGCCGTTAGGACTTTGTGGCCCTTCGATAGGCGGAGTGACCTAGTTCAGGGCTTCAACGATTACCGAACCTCTGGAAAATGAGTTTGTAGTAGTACCTCTAGACTTTCTATACAGGGTGACTGGTAAGTGGACGTATTCCTTTGAGGAGATGACATTAGAGCCTATTTGCTACCGATTAAACACTACTTACCTCTATACCATTCTTAACGGTTTTCGCGATATTTTCATTTTTCTAATTTTTATAAAATTCACTACCTTATGAGGCAAATATTTAAAATTAACGAAAATAATAAGGACCTTTCTGAAAGTCGTGTTTTAAATTTTAAGCTGACACACTGACAAAAATATCAGCATTGAAAATTATCGAAACACTAATGTTAACTATTGAGTTATTGCGGTTTAAACTTAACTTTTCTTGTTAAGTTTCTAACTAATGACTTATTTAACCCTAAAAATATCGAAAATTTCATAGTACTTCAAACGTACAAATAATTGGCAAAAGTACTCCATTTTATTGTCTCCAAGATAAGGTACATTATTTCAGAATTAGCTTTTTGCTTTCTTGTTAAATAAATTATTTTTATTTTAAGGAGAGACGATATAATTTTCAACAGAATTCTAATTTATACCTGTTTTGGATATCAAGTGTTGCAATAAAAATTTTATCAAATTTTTTAGTAGCTAATAGTAATAGTTTTTAGTAAAGAAGTAATTATTATTTTCTGCTTGAAAATTTTGAAATTTTCATAATAAATTACTGGCACTCTATGGCCAAGCATTGTTGAATGCATTCTCTTTCAAATAGTTCACAATTGGCACCTAATTTTTTCGTTCCATAATAAAACAATAATTACCATTTGAAAAAATGTATTTCCTATCATAATAAAAAAAACAACATTCTCAAAATGAAATGGAAAAACTTTTTGATACAATTTAATCAATAACTCATTAATTTTCAAAATGACTAACCCCATTCCTTATGCAATTACGAGCCCGTCTTCGTATTTCTGTCCTGGTTACTCGATTTGAAAAGTTCTGTCGCAATATCGCAACAGGAGTTAAATCAGGGCTCCTAACAGGCCATGGTATATGGGTCCACCTCTTCCAATCCATCTATTCGGAATCCTTTGGTCTAAGAGTGCCCTTATTGTTAGACGATAGTGTGCAGGACATCCGTCAAGCTGGAAGATCATCTGTTTGCCTGTTCGCTAAAGGGACATCTTGTAGTAGCTCATACAAGTTGTTACGTGAAAATTCTTCATAATTTTCACCGTTAAGGTTATCAGGTAAAAAATCAAAATTTGTTATT